ATTTAACAGACAGCAACAGAGTGTGTGCTAAGAGAACTCGGAGAGAATTGCTTATATCTCAGAAGCAATCTTCATAATTAGAAAATGTAAGAGACCTTCAGAGAACAGGAGTTCAGATACAGAAATGACATTAAGACATATTTTAACAGTACCTTTATCATGCATTTGTGGAGTCTGACACATTCCCAGCAGAAACTGCATTACTTGCAGAACTGCATCCAAAATCTAAACCAATCAAGACAGACATATAAAAACACATTTTAGTAAAAATATATCATCATCTTATCTGACATCACTGCAGTGCATGTAAAACTTGCTTATAAACTTAGAAATGTAAGCATCTCTGTAAGCAAGATTTTTTTTAACATTACATGACTGGAAGTATATTACTCTCACTCAGTTTACAGATCTTTCCTTTGTAAAGCCTTCAGCTAACTGGCACAAACAAAAAAAAAAACTGCAGTAGTCCTGGTCTCAGTATCAAAATTTAAATACTAAAACTCTGCACTCAGTGACTGTCATTCTTTGGAACCCAGAAATAAAAACAGACTTAGGAATATCTACTGCGTACCTGAGGTTTAACTAACTCAAGCAAAGTAAAGCAACAGGATAAATGTCAAACAAACTTAAGTTCTACCTGTTCTCTGAGGGAGGCATCCCTGTAAGCAACGTCTGATAACAACGTTACCAAGCAGAAGCTGAAGTTTTCTGCAACTGGAAGCAAGCCTACAAAGTAACATACCAAACCCTTGAGTATTGCTAGAGAGAGCATAGTAAGAGCAAACATAAAGAACACATGAGTGATTCTCATGTCATGCAGTTCTGAGACATATTTCAGATATAGTACAAACAAAATTTGAAAGTATATTCTAGCCATCATAATTTCAGCATGAAGTATTAAAATAATATTTTTAATTTATAAAAACTTCTCCAGGTTTTCAAATACACATAAAAAAACAAATTGAGTATCTCTTGTGAAACAGAATTATTCTTATATTAATTCTAAGAGATATTAAAGGAGCAAGAAATTAAGTATTTAACTCAGTATCTAACAAAAGCAAAGTATAAAAATCTCAGGTTCCACTCTCTTGCTCTAAATTACTATGTAATCTTCCCCAATCTAGTACTAAGATATATTGAACTGTTTGGAAAATGCAATGTATCATTTAATTTATCACTTAGCAGTCAAGCAGGAAAGCTAGCAGGTGTTCAGCTTCCTTTCCATTTCTAAAGAACAATTAATATTAAAGGCTGTCAGATGAGAACCTCATCACAACTCTCACTTCCCTCTATACCTCACACTGAAGAGACTTATTTCTATTTGTTGGCTGTTATTTATTGAGAATGATAATTAAAAAAAAAAACCAAAAAAACACAACAATAAACATCACCTCTGCCTTTCCGTGCACTGCTTTCTTCTATCCATTGGACCTTGGGAAGTCCCTTTAAAAGCCGAAGGAGGTAAGGAACCACATTATCTTTGTGCTAAAAAGCAAAATATTATGTTTAAAATGGAGACAAAATGCTAAAGAATATCATCCCCAGTTACTTTAAAGGAATGAAGAAACCACATTAACCACACACAGAACTCCTAACAATTACTCCACACACTTCTTGAATATTGCAGAACAGATTTCAATATAAACAAAGGAAAATAAACAAATTTATTCAGCGCTATAAACTCGAGCATTTCATTCTAGTTAACAAGTTCATTCTCAATAAAAGTTGGTTAATTAAGTTTCTGGATCTTCTTTTTCCAGTTCATGTACTGATTTACAGCAAAGTCACAAAATAATTTGAAGGCAGTTAGATGTTTAGAAGTGACAACCTCTATATACTATATGAGACCTACCCCATGGCCTTATGCAAATCACTTAGCACAACCATTTAAGAACTCAGTTAAATCTACAAATCAAAGGATAACATTTTCCTTACTCACAGAGCTGGATTAATTAAAACTGCTGGCTTTGAAAACATCACAGAAATGCTAAGAAGAATGAATACAATTGCCTTAAGTTTCACACTTCAAAAAAGGTCTACTATGTATACAAGCTGAATCACAGTAAACAGTTGGAAACATAAGCCCAATTCAAACCATGGCAAAACTGAAAAGCTTGAAGAAGTCTAATGTCTTTGGACCCTGAAGTCAATATATACTTTCCCTTTCAAGAAACAATACTGCATGCAACATTGGAGGAGAAAAGAACCAGCCTGTCATAATCAGATACAATATGGAGGCTTGAACACAAAGCCAACTACATAAACTGGTCATCGTTTTATCCTAGCTAATGCTGAGGCATAATAAGGCTGTTATAAACCTGACAATACAACTCATGCTTCCCCTCAGAAGACACTTCTCTCCTTTACTACCTCGAATTCAACACCATGCGGTTGATTCATCACCTACCCTTTAAAATTTGTAAACAAGTGCCTCTGTCTTGTCTACCACCACCTGCAAGCCCACATAAAATTACTTAATCTTATCCGTATCTCCTTAATCTGCAACAAATGAAAAATATAACAACAGTCTGGCTGTGGTAGTACCACAATTGCTATCACATGCGTCAAAACTATTTTTGCTTCTTTTACTCTCCTGATTGCTCCGTTACCTCCGATCTTTTATCGTGCCAACTTTTTTAGAAAGAACAATAATAATTTTTTATTAATTGTACTACTGCATTTGAATTAATCCAATATCTTTCAAGCTCAGTAGAGGAAGCCTAACAGGAAAAATACCTGAAGATCAGATTCAATTAGGAAGATTCCCAGAGCAATCACAGCATCTCTGCGACGTTCATCAAGCTGAAAAATTCCATGGAAATCCACTGGACACATACAGAGCAGTTTTTGTACCTGAAGAACAGTGAAGCAAAAAAATGGGGGGGAGCAAAGCCAAAAAAAAGTCAGCAATGCAAAAAAAAAAAAAAAAAACCCAACCAAAACCCAACAAATGAGTATTAACACTATCTTTCAAAAAAACAATAATGAAACACAATAACAGAAAAACAAAAGCAAAAAAACAACTCAGTAGACCTTGGGAAAATCCCAGCTGTCTTTTTGTAAGGACCAGCTCTACTTATCACATCCACAACCCACATCACCCCAAGCAGAAGGTCAGGGCTACAGCAATATTCATGTGATTATTTTCACAGTAGAGAATTGTATAATCAATGGATATCAAGATGTTATAACCACAAAAGAACAAGACAGTTAGGCAAAATAGACTAAGATAATAAACAGAATAAATGGAAGGCTTACCTGTATGCTAGGCTCACCTACAGAAAGCACCAGAAGGAGGGATCTCCAGAAGAGATCCTTCCCCACTGGTAGCCAGCTCTTAAATAGGTCTAGGAGGGGTGCAGCCTGGCTCCACCCCTTCCAGCAGCACAGGCGAATTGCCTTCACCTGTGCTCCTCTGGCTGACTCATGGCTCGCCTCAGATGCTCAGAGGTTCAGGCCGTGACTCAGCAGTTCCCATACAAGAATCAATCTCGGGGGCTGTGGATTTCAGGACTCATCTAGAGCTCCTGTAATTGAAGGGGACAGTGCTCTTTCCAGTTCCTGGCCACACGGCCCTCCTTTAAGCATCAGTGTGTGAATGAAAATATCTAAGGGCCAAGAAAAATAAACGAATAGCAGATACTGAGAAAATCAACAACTATTTGACATGTGTTGATTTCAGTTTCCTTCAACACTTGCACAAGCTTCTTTTTGTATTTCAAATTTCTGAAACTTTTCAAACCATCACAATTAAAAGGCTCATCTACTGATATCATTTAATGCCTACTATAGTTTCTCACACTGGAAAAAAATAAATTAATTAACAGTCGGTAACAGGGAGCCAACTGCAGGACATTAAGAAACTGCCCAGGGAGGTGGTGGACCCACTGTCCCTGAAGGTATTCAGGAAATGTAGAGATGCGGCACTGGGGCGCAAGGCTCAGTGGGCATGGTGGGGCTGGGTTGACAATTGGACAAGACTGTTTTAGAGATCTTTTCCAACTGTAACAATCCTATGATTTTATGATTTGCAGCTAGGTGTACAACAACAGGACTTCAGAAGAAGAACTAAACAGATGCACTGTAGCACCTGGGTGAGAATACCCCCGAACTGCAGTTCTTGGCACAGAGCTGTGCCACCCAGCACACAGGCACCAAGCCGTGATGCTGCCTCCTGACAGCCACAGCTCCAAGCGGAGCAGAGATCACAGCAGGAAGCCTCCCAAGACTGAGATCCTTCTACCGAGTAATACCTTCGGCAGATGTTTACCTCAGCTATTTTTTTCCCCACCCTGTGCAGATAACATCACTCTGACTTCACCAAATACCGCAATTGCGACCAGCTCCAACAAGGCCAGGACCAATTACGACCCACAAGCCCCAGCCCGGGCTTCCTCAGAGCACAACGCTTTCGCCGCGGGCCCACGAGAGCGCCCTCTCACGCGTGGGCACGCCGCCCCCGGAGAACCGCTCAGACACCCACAGTGCGACAAGACCCCACACAACCTCCTCACAGGCGGAGCCTCAAACTTTCCCTCGTAGCACCCAAGGGTCTCATTCGCGTGACGCGCCTCGCACACAGCTCCCACCCGTGTGACAGCCCTCCGCGAGTCACACCCCCACACGGCGCCCCCACCTTCTCCAGCGGCGCCGGGCTCTGCACGGCCAGCGACCGCGCCAGAGACAGCACTGTATTGAAGTAGAAACCCCGCGCGGTGCCCACGCCGCTCCCTCGGCCCACGCCCGCTGAAGGAGCTGCGGCGGCGGCAGAGGGCGCGGCGGCGGTCGCGGCGGCTGCTGCCGCTGCCGTAGCCGCCGCCGCTGCCGCCGCCGCAACCGTCGCAGCCGCCATTGTGTGAGACAAGTCAGAGAGCGACTAGGCCCCTCTCGCGAGAGCGCCTATCTCGCGACATTGTAGATCACCAATCGCGCAGAGAAGATGGCGGCGGCCTGCTTCGCTTCACCGCTCGGAGCTCCCCGCCCCGCCCCGCCCTGCCCATCCACCGACGAACCGCCCTCTCTCAGCGGAGCGCTTGGCCCACCCCGGTGCCTGTAGGCGGAAGAGGGGGGGCTCGGTCAGCGGCGTCGTCTGAGGCTTCTTGAGCTGGGGAAGTTCGCCATGTCGGCCGTCTCGAGGAGCTACAACCCCTTCGACGAGGACGAAGAGGAGACGCGGGGCGGTGGAGAAGTATGCGGTGCGGAGCGGCAGCGCTACCTGCAGCAGGAGGCGCTGCGCCTCTCCACCGCTACCGCCGACAGCACCGCGCGCTCCCTCTCGCTTCTCTACGAGTCCGAGCGCATTGGTGTGGCCGCCTCCGAGGTGGGTCCGGGCCCCTGCGGTAGCAACACGGCGCGAGGCCGTTGCCCCTCTCCGGTGTGGGTTTTGATTCTGATGTTTTCCCGTCCTCTGGATGCTGTCGTTAGTTCTCGGAATCGATCAGCGTCTCAGAGGCAGTATGTCCCTCCTTATCACGGTTTGCTGCTGGAGAGGGCTGGTTTTTAAAGCATGGCATCCCAGTTGGAGTCTCTTTACACAGAGAGCAGAGCTCAGCTGTGTCAGTTTCTTACTGGGTTTTATTAACAGTGCATATATTTAGTTTTCAGCAACTCTAATAAAATGAGAAGTCTGCACGCTTAGTCGTTGATCATACTCTTGGTTCCACCTTTATTAATCATTTCCTTCATTCTCACGTGCTTGTTTTGGAGTGCAGTTTATATTCACATGTCACTAATGAGGGCCTTGCCATGATGTCATCCAGTAATTGGGAGTTTGCCTGAATGCAGCAGCATGACCGTCAGAGTGACTGAGCTCTACCTTGTGGTGTATGTGTCATGAATGGCTGAAATGAGAGACTGAGAATTGAGGCTTAGCATTGTCCTTGGTTTTACACCAGCATTAGCTGAGGGCAGGTCTTCTGTCAGAATGAATCTAATTAATCTTTGGATTGCTTTAGCGTAGTGCCATTGAAATAACACAGCTGTGTGTATCAGGATTTGTAACTGTTAGCATTGCCTTAAAACTGCAGTAAAAATAAAAAAATATTCTAGCTGTATTTGCTTTCTTTAGCTAGTTTGTTTATAAATCATCTAGAACAACCCAGCAATGTGAAGCAGAATCCCTTGTTAATTTCTAGTTTCAGAACTAGACGTAGTTTTCACTTGCCTGTTGTAAACCTTTGCATTTTCACTACGTTGCCCATTAGGTGCAATCAATAAGCAATGCAGTCTGACAGAAGACCAACATGGAAAGTGCCTGAATCTCTTTTGTAGTATGTACCGGGAAGCTAGTTGTGCACAAATGAAGTTTTTGTAGCTGGCCAATGCCGTACCTGGTTGCCAGCTCTTCACTGAAATGCCCCCAGAACAGCAGGAGTAAGTGAAAAGGCTTGCAAGCCTTTAGGAGTAGTCTGCACAGTTGAAAGAGTTGTTTTGTTTTGTTTTTAAAGCACATTTATTAAAAATGGTTGGTTTTCCAGTTTACCTTGGCTTAACTAGCTTCCTTTTATCTGTCAATGTCCATTAGGAGCTCATACGTCAAGGAGAGGCACTGAAGCGTACAGAACAAATGGTTGATAAAATGGACCAGGACCTGAAGACTAGTCAAAGGCACATAAATAGCATTAAGAGTGTTTTTGGAGGCCTGGTTAACTACTTCAAAGCCAAACCACCTGAGAGCAAACCAGAACAAAATGGAATACCTGAATATTATGGCAACAATAGGTAAGTCAAATGAAAATTGTATTGGGGCGTGGTACTGTTTTCTTGGGTTCAAGCAGGGGAGTTGCCTGTCATTAGAATTCTTCTGGAAGAATCTGGATCTAGAGCAATTCTTCTAAAGTAAGTGTTGAAGTGGGAATAGTGCTGTCATATATATATTTCTCATTCTGTTACCAGGGCCTTAGCTGTCTTCTCTGTGCTCTTTGATCCCTCTCCAATTACCTGACTCTTACAAAGAGAGTTTCCTCTGTTTCCTCACAGCGTCACTATTTTCATTCATGTGTCTTTCTCCTAAACTCCTCAATAAGTCTTTCCCCTTCCTCTCTCGCCCCCCTCCCCCCATCTGCCAGCTTCTCTGAAATGTCACAAAAAAAAAAATTAAAAATAATGTATTGATTCTGTAAACTCCTGAGTTGGTGCCTGGTTCCCTTTTTGCTTTAACTCTGAAAAAGTTATTATTTTCCTTACATTTGTAATGGTAAGAATAACTTCAGATTTTTAGGAGTTTATTCACAGGTTATTTTTCAGAGTCGCTGAATCATCATGCTTAATTCAGTTGTATTAGGAAACTATGATTTTGCAGCATTGGTGTGCTTCTACTTAAATATTATGCATCTTTCTCAACTTTTTTTTTAATTAAAAGCTATAAATGGAAATGAATTACTATGTCTTACAGTATTTGTCTGTCTTCAGCTGAGAAATTTATGTAAAGCATGGTAGTGCTGCGTGGATTGATTTTCCTGCTTCCCTTTTTCATTTTCAATTGGAGGAAAGGAATAGGTTGCCTCCAAGACTGCAGATGTGGTTTTGTTCTTGATATCAAAGCTTATACTGTTTTCAGCACTAGAACAACCAATTGTGTTTTCACTGAAGATGTGATTATAATTAGTTGTGAAGGGATATGTTGAATCAGGTCTAGTAAGTTCTCTTCTCTTGGATTATTTTAATGCCTATTCTTGAACTGATTCAAAATGAAGCCTTTGATCCGTAAGAATATTTTTGGTTTATTATTTGTATTACCAGATTAAAAGAAGCAATGATGTCTAGCAAAGATCAAGACCCAAAATATCAGGAAAGTCATCCGAATTTAAGGCGCCTAGATAATTCAGGTTCGTTTATTTTATTCTGAATGCCTGTCGTCAAAGTGAAGGGAACTTGCTCAGTGGTGAAGGTAGGACAAACTGCTGACTTGTGTTGCTACCTAATTTCTGGAGGCTGGTATCCTAGCATTCCTGATTTGTAATTCTCTGAGAAAAGAAAAGCTTTCTGGTAACATCAATCTCCATTACGTTTCACATAACTTTAAGAGTCTGTCCAACAGAGGGCAGAAGTGACTCTCTAGTGGCTTTACCTGAGCAAATGTTAAATGCCAATAGAAGGTAGTAAACTTGCTTTGTTGGTAGTGGGATTTATTGGTTATTTTTGGTTGGTGTCTTTTTTTTTTTTTAGCTACACAATAGAGTTACAAAAGACAACAGGAGAGTGATTATAGCTTTATAATTGTTTATTTTGAGTGTGTCCAGTAGGTAGTGATGTTGGACTGCTTTTGATGCTCTTGCTAACTGGTTATATAATTACATGGCAACTATAGTCGAATTAAGTTTTGATAGCTTTCCAAAACTTGATTCTTGTTTCTTTATTATATATTTTATCTTGTACTCTTAACAGATAGTGATTTCAGCAGCATAGATTCGATTTCTTCAGTGCAACGGGATGCCTATCCAAAGAATCAACGTCTGCAAGCCTACCACAAAAAAATTGATAACAACTTAGGTAAGTGAGAAAATTGAAGCTGTTTGACATAGTACGATTTTCAATTTTTTGTTCTCAAGCTAGAGAAGGCCTAATATATCCCTGATAACTTTTTTTTGTATAGTTTATATGAGCTTTGATATTAAAAAAAAAACACGCTTATAGATTGTCTTTTCAAATCATCTACACCAAAACCAGGAGTTCTCTTAGATCATATATTGACCATACGAAAAGCAGTCTTACTAAATGTGAATATGCAAGCAAATCTCTGGTCTTTGAATGAGGAAATGCTGCTGATGTATCCCAGGGTATGAAAATAATTCCCAGGATATGTTAATATTTCTTTGAAACATTCTGTAACTGAAATATCATTAGGACAAGCAGGCTAATCCTTCCATTTTCAAGGAAAAAAAACCAATAACAAAACAACCTAATTAAGATACTAGTAGTGTTAGAAAAAGTAATGACTCAACATCTGGATTAGAGTAGTATGGTACTTATTACCTCATTATGTAAAGTCTTCCAGTTATCTTGAAAGATATATTGAACTTATCAGACTGACAGCTGTATCATGCCTGTGTTAAATTGTACATTGATTTGGACCAAGAAAACTTAAAACTGCAATTTTTGAAATAAACATGTTCTGCAGAATATAGAACAATTGAAAGGTACTGAATAATTAGTGAATTTGCTGCATTTCTTTTTTTACTTCCAAAAATATTCTGAGCTGACCTTTTCATTTTACTGTAGCGTATATGCAAAGTGCATGCCTTTCTGCTTACGTGTGTCACTATTTAGCTCGCCTAACAAGAAAAGATTGGGAGGAAGTCAGAAAGAAATAAATCAAAGAGAAATAATCAAGCATAACAGTTAGTGGAAACACAGTTGTTCTACTCGCAAATCACGCAAAATTTACTAGCTTCAGAAACATCTGTACCAATCATGCACACAACAGCATAGTTTTCTTGTAGTCAAATTCTGGAAACTTAATTTTCTCATCTGTGTTAACTGCTTCAATCTTCAGTGTATAGAATATCTCTGCATGCAGATCAGTTGGGAAAAAGTAGCTTATTATTAATACTGTGCTGAGGAAGGGTACAGTCCAGTTTTCATCAAGATCTTTTAACAAGTGAAAACTACATTAGAGGGTGCTTCATCATAAAAGTCAAATTTGGTTTTAAGCATTTAACTTGTAATGGAAATAAAGATGATTACTTTCTGATTGTAATGCAGTAGCAGTGTTTAAATTTTGTTTCTTGCATTGTTAGAGAATACTTGGGCTTGAGCAGTTGTAAATAATTTTTTCTAACTCAAGGTTTTGGAGGAGAGGAAATCCTGGTAGAATCCATTTGAAGCAATATGCTTTCTACTGCTTTGAATCCTTATGGTCAATCTCTCCTTTGACAGATGAGATGTCTTCTGGATTGAGTCGTCTGAAAAACCTAGCTCTTGGTCTGCAGACAGAAATAGAGGAGCAAGATGATATGCTGGATCGGCTAACCAAAAAAGTAGAGATTCTGGACGTCGGTATTAAAAGCACTGATAAAAAAATTCGACAACTTTAAAGATCTAACAAATTTTGTCCAGCATTAGTTCTTCTCAGTTGTCTTTTCTCAGCAGATCTCTTTAAAAAGAAAAACAACCTTGGATGATATATATTTCTTTTTTTTTTTTTTTTTTTCCTCCGTTAGGCTACTATTTTGTTGACATTAGAAGTGTGGCATAATACCTTGAATTTCTTTCCAGTGTACATGGGAAAAGTGCATTTTGAGTAAAATCTCTCAGTACTCCGTTAATTTGTGTATTACTGTGCATTGTGTGCATGGAGGAGTCCAGAGTCTACAAAGCTTCAGTATCCCTGGCCTGGAAGCTGTGATGAGAAAATCAGCTACCTTTTGCCTTTTTAGTTCCAGGAGGGGCAGGGAGAACAGAATGTATTCCTTTGTTCAGATCAAGCACTGCAAATTCTGTTTACCTACAGCTATCTTATATGTTGAAAAATATGCCAATTTTCAGCTGTACAAATAATTCTAAGTGATTGCCTTCTGGCATTCTTGGGGCTTAAGGAGCTAACTGTTCAATGGAAGGTGTAAAAGGTAAACTGTCAAAAGTGTAATGCAAGAATGATAAAATTCTGTAGGTGTTCTTGTTCCTAAGATTACTTTTTCCAATGAGCAGTGGTATTTATGAGTGGATCACTGGGTACTATCAGCTTTATGCTACTTTCAGGAAAAATCAGTAAGGGTATGTTATGGTTTGCAAGAAATGTTGATTGGTAAGTACCCAACAAGTTTGGGTAACAGAGTCACAATTAATGCATGTGTACTTCCTAAGATTCCTATGTAGCAGTTGTCACTATCTGCTCTCATTTTCTGCCCTTTCTCAACTTAGTTACCTAGGTGGTTAGTTTCTATTTTAGAAATGGAGAGTTGGTCTGCTACTGTGCAAACAGATGTTAGGAAGTAGGAAGTAATTCCTTAATTTAATATTTATTTCAAATAGAGGTGATTCAGGAGTGAGCAGATGCTGTGTTTTCTTGAACACACTTTGACTGTTCTTAAGAAGCTCAACTGTGATGCACATACTTCTGCATTAGCTTTAGCAGATACAAAAAGTTCCCATAGATGAAGAAAAGCTCAAAAAGTTTTGAGTCTTCCAGATACAAGTTGGGTCTTCTATTTCATTTTATTCATTTGTAAATACAACTGTAGAATAACTACACTTCTGCTCCAAGCTGAAGACATGACAATGAGAACTAGATGTCTCTTTTGAAAACAAGTAATTTCAGTTTGGAGAAAACCTGTGTCAGTATTGCAATACTCTCTATCAAAACTGACAGTGAAAGGCCAAGAAGAGAGCCACTTTGTGCTGGTGCAATATTCTCTTCCAAGTTAATACAACTGAGGCGTTTAGAACTATCAGGCTTGTATCTTTCATGAGTATTACATTCATACTCTTTTTTTTTTTTTTTTTTTTTTTTTTTTTTTTTTTTTTTTTTAAAGGGAATTTGTTACATTGACTTGCTATAAAGTTCACCCAATAGGATAAAGAGACCTGAGAAAACTTGACCATTTCTTGACTTACTGTGTCTCTGGGGAATTCAACTGTAAAGACAAATGAATCACAAAAAAAAACCAAAACCACACACTTCTAAGGCATAGTGTTATGAAAAGCACATGAGAGTTGTGAATTAGATGGAAGGTGTGCTTCTGTTTCTCCTAACCTTGCTACTATCATTAATTTAGTCCCTAAAAAAGATAGCACTTGTAGAGACTTAAAACTGCATGAGCTTTTGAGCATGAAAAGCCTTATTCGCTTTCTCTCTAATTCATACTAATATGAAGTCTTGAAAAAACTTAATGTCAATGTTATGATCTCCCTTCTTGGTCGGTATCATAATTCTCTTTAACTGTTAGAATAGTCATGAATTATATGATCTGATGCCTTGAGAAGGTTTAGAGATCTGTTATACTAGTCATTAGTTATCAAAATCTATTAAGCATCTGTTAAGTCAGTGAAGGAATATTGCAATTATGATTGTATTTGTTGTACTGATTATAAATTTTACTCACTCCTCGTTTTATTAATAGGGTATAAAGAATGGTGTTTTTGCTTACCCAGTGCTGATTAATGGAAACATTTGCATCTTAAAAAGGATTTGTAATATCTGTCAAGAACATAGGATACTCAACAACAACAAAAACCACCACAGTAAATAACTCAGTGTAGGTTGAAATCGGTCCTCATTTATATGCAGATATTTCAAAATTAATTTTTTTCCAAAGTCAGACTTCACTAACTTGCATTGTAGATTGATGTTTTTTTTCCCCACAAAGTTTGGGTTAGTGGAGGAAGAGTGTAGCTAGATGATCTTGTTGTGTTACATGAAATAAATGCAGAGCTTGATTCCCAGCTAAAATTTTAGTTTACTTAATTGAGTGTTGCCTTAACAATATGTTGTCTTTCTAAAGCCAGCTCTTCATGTTTTTAGTTTAAGTTAATTTACAGAATGAACTCAATTGTTTTGGTCAACAGCTTAGCTGTATCAGCATTACTAAACGTTTTGCACATCCTGAATGTCTTTGGCCTTGAAAACACAGGCAAAGAAGGGGAATAAAAAGAAATTTTTAAAATCCGTATTTCTGCTTTGAGAGCCTTTTAATCCAAGCAGACTAAAATCTCCAACATACAGAGGTTATACAGAAGTCTGACTTCTCACGTCTTTAACAGTTTAATTCATTGTCTCACTAACTTGTTGTAATGCTATAAGATGATGGGGAAAGCACAGCAACAATAGCAGGGTGACAAAATCTTTAGACAAAGGAGGAGGAAAAAAACAAAAACAACAACAAAAAAAAATCCAGCTGCTTACTTTTTGAAGGCTCAGGGAGGAAAAAAACCTCCAGCAAAACATCCTTGCTTCCACTGCCGACCCTTAAATGAGGCCTGGGAGTAGGTGGATCCTGGTTCCAACTCTTCAGGTCACTCAGGTACATTGTATGCACCTGAACTCCTCTGGGCTGGCTCTGCTTTCCCACCAGGTGTTCTGTCACTGCTTCAACCTGTGACTTATCATGTGCACTGTGTGTCATTATTTTTTTGCTACTTAGGCTTTTCTGTTCCGTTTATTATTTTTGGTGGTTTTTTAATAGCCTTTTTTAAATGATTGCTTCAGATGTGAGTTTTCTTTCTTAGGAAAAGAAAAATGTTGATGGGAGTTATTAATATTTGCTACTGACTGAATTACCTTTCTCAACTTTCATGTTTTATGTTTTCTGCTAATTTACATGAAGAAACAACAGTATTTTGTACGTGATATTTTTTTCTCATTAGAGTAACTTCTTCTCCTGCGGGAAGGTGGAAATTCCAAGGTAGGAAAAAAAAATGCCATGAGCATTGCTTTTCCAAGAATGCCACTTTATATATGTAATGATAGACTTTCTGTAACTTTTTGTACTCTTTTCTGTGAAGAAGTACGATTTTATTTCTTTTTGCTGATATTGTTGAAAAACTTACTTTGTATAAAGTATAGGACTTTCAGAAGACTCAAGTGTAACTTGATAATTTAAATTGTTTTGTCTAGGTTTGTGTTGGCATAAGATGTTCTTGCAGCAAAATAGCTCTAATTAGTATTATTCTTATTGGCTTGAGTAGAAGCCTAATACTAAGCTCAGAGTAAGAGAGGAAAATATTATTTTCAGTCTACTTTGTAAAAGGATACATATAGTTTCTCAGAAAGTTTGCTAATGAATTTTTGAAGAGTTGTTAAACACTGGAAACTAGTATATACTTTCTAACGTATGTGTAATAAGAGATATGCTAAAAACAGGAAGGAGGAAAAAAAAAGTGGGAATAGTCAGATATGTTTACTAGTTTCCTCTATGTGTATGATTTGAAGTTGCTTGAGTGTTGTATTAAATACTGTAACAAATTATACATAGTTGAATTTTAGTCTGTGCTACGAAGATGTGTTGCTGCACCTGAACTCTCTTCTTACTGAAATTACTCAGACACTGGTCTGTGCCCTATTGGGGTGTGCCATGTGTGCTATCCAACATTTCAAAGAGAAACTACTGCCTTTATTTGGGTTATATGTAAATGCTCTCTATGTGAATCTGGTCTTTCCCTGAAGAAGGTTTTACAGTTGTTGGTGGTATTTTTGTTGTTGCTTTGATTTCTAATTTGCGAAATTTATCTGAAAGATTTTGCTGCCTAATAGCTTTTCTGAAGTAATGTTGTTTGATAAATGGTGAAATAGATAATACGACCTCTGCCTTCTAAACCAATAGACCTTTATAGGCATTTTTAGAAGTATACTTTTTTTTTTTTTTTTTTTAAACAAGACTTTATGTCTGTACCATCCAGGTATATCACTTGCTTTTTCTTTTCTTTAAATGTTAAAATGAACTGCAATTTAGAAGATTGAATTAAATGACTACTGAGTGGTAAGCTGATTAATAAAGATGTTTATTGTTAATTGTGGGATTTTGCATTTATTTCCTTTTTTTTTTTTTTTTTTTTTTTTTTTTTTTTTTTTTTTTGTTACAACTTCAGATAACTCCTTCCCGTAGTAAAATCTATTAAATTCCTCAACATTTTCTGTAAATTTTGAGTCAAAATGGAAATTAGTTTGGAGCTGGTGGGTTTTGCTTTCTGAGCATAAAAAGACAACATTGCATTTTACTTGACTCTTGAGTAGATTTTCTTTGATAGTGAAAGTGGAATGCAGATAAGCATTCGTTTATGTAAAGCCTTTACTTGCAAAGAAGAAATAATCCGAGATGTTACTTGAGGAGTAATCTAGCCATAGACTCTGATATTATCAAGAGTATAATAAACGGTATGCATGAGGAGGACAAGTAGGATAGGAATAAGACACAAATAATTGTACCATCTTGAAAACTTAAGAGCAACAGGTATATAATATTCCTGTATGGTCCCAAATTTTGTGATGGCAAAAGTCTTCAAAATGTCCTGGTGTTTAGCTGGGTTCTCACCTGTATATGAGGGCAGGAACTTGGCTTCTGTGTTGTTTGTTTTTCATAATAATTTTTTGGTTGGTAAGATTCTTGAAAGAAAACATTGGCGCCCATGGAATAAGTGGACTGCTAAATTAGGAAGATCTCTGGATGCCAGGCAGGGTTTTCTAAGTACAGTCACTTTGGAGCCCTGTTTCAGTTATTCTAGATGGACTGTGACTTTGTTCTTGGCAAGACAGAACTTCATAGAAAACGGCCTTTCAATTCTATTTGTGTATATTTTGGGGAAAGTGGCTGTCCTCCTTGGCATCTTAATTCTAGATGATCTTTCATTTTCCTTTGTGTTAATTCTAAATCTATTCATTCTTTTAACGATTAACAGTCATTTGCCAATGATGTGTGTGATACCTGTGTGTAAGTACTCTTAAAAGCTGCAAGATTTTCTATTGCTTAGAAAAAAACCTTTGCTTGGCTTCAGTGTGTCTCACAGCCCTCGCAGCTAACACTGCATTGAGTTCAAATAATGTGAACACTAAAATCTGACTTGCTTACCCTGGGATTTGAGCCTTAGACTTCTCTTAGAATATATGTGTAACACCAGTATTTGTTTGCATCTATGAAATATTCATCTGCTATACAGAGATTGATGGGTAGTATGACTGAGTGTGTTTGCCTTCAGGAATTACCTGATTTGTATTCACCTGTTGATGGAGAGAGCTTTCTGAGGGAGGCACACCATCACTTTCTATTTTACCTACTGGAATAATGTATGCAGGCAGGATGACCTGGACTGAGTATCCAAGAACTTGTTTCTTGTAATTTGACTCTTGTGGAAAGACAGGAACTCTTAAAAAGAATTTGATGGAGACATTGAGACAATTGCCAATTCAAGCTTCTGCAACCTGCCCTGACAATTCTTGTGCCATTAACTGCGCCACAGAGGGGATGTGAGTAATTTCATCTGCTACATTGTGTGTTGTTAGATTACAGCAGTTGATATTTCTTACTTTATTTTTATTCCTCAAGTAGCATGCAGCAATGTAGCATTCATGGGAGCTAGTAGAATTTGTGGATGCTAATCATCAATCCTGGCCTTTGGGATTATGCCCACTTCACTGTACATGTTCAGAATAGCACCACAGACATAGTTGTCAACAATGCAGTCACCTGCTTTGCTATGGTCACCTGTGAGCTCCCATCAATAGGCCATCAGGCAGATATGGGTAGGTGGGTATTTTCTCCATAAGGACACAGCTGCAGTAGTTCAATGATGTGTTAGTTTTCGTTGGTATGTGAGCTAATGCACTGAAACTGAGGTGTGCCTGTAAGCAAAGCACAGGTGGGGAAACTTGTCAAGGTCCTGTCATCACTGACACAGAACAACTCAAACTCACTACAAACTGACATTTATGGCACAGCAGGAGCAGCCTAGGATCCACATCCAGGTGGATTATTTGTTATTGGCTGAATCCCTGCTCTTGGCTCCTTTGCATGGCTCTTTACTGAGCAGTGTTTCAACTGCTTGTCCAGCTCAGTGCAGTTGAAAGTGATGGAGAGGAAGCTCATTCTTAGGACTCTGAAGCACCTGAGTGCTCTAGCATTTTCAGCTTCATATTTCTGAAATTGTTTCCTTTCTGCATAGATACATAAGCTAAAGAAACATTTTTTTTTTCAATTGCCTGCTTTACAGATGAGGGTTTGGGACATCATTGAGGTCTTATTCACCTCTCAAGGTAATGTGCATTCTGCTGGGTTTACAGTGGCAACCTGCCAGAAGCCTGAGGGCTTCATGTGTGACCAAATGAGATAAGATGAGCAACTCAATCAAGGCAACTTTTCACTGTGATGTATATAGTAGGATATCACTTATTTTCTAGTGTCATTAGACACCAGCAGCCAGTGGCAATGACAGAACAATGGGGTTTGGGTGCATTAGATTGCAAGGAGCTAAGTCCTTAATTCAGAAATGAACTTAAATATAAGCGTATGTTTGTGTTGTTGAGAATCACATTGAAACCTTTTAAGTTCTTTCCACTGTTATGGTTAAGCACATGTAGACATACTTTTTGAGTCAGTCCTACCATGTTAATGATCTTCATGAATCTCTAGGCGTGTCTGCTTCCTTGGATCTCATGTGTCAGGATTTAGAAGGTAAGTACTGAAAGAATACTATTTGAGAGAACCATTAATTCCAATTTACCCTTCCATGGATCAGTGATAAATTATGGAATTGATAACATTTGGAAATATTTCTTAAGCATCTACAACCTTTCACATGTCTGTTCAGAACTACTTAAAATGAATGTTCTTAAGGAAAGGAACTTCTGAAGACAGTCTCAGATGCTCTGTGATTTGTTTACTCAATTATTCATAGGCCATGTGGTATAAATATATAATTTATTTCTATTTTGACTCTCATCAACTGTTCTGCTACCTTAGTACCTCTGTTGTAGTATGAAAGAAGTATGAAGACTGGAAGGTTGCTGGGTAAAAGAAAAGTGTCTGTGTGAACAGCTGGAAGCGATAATATATAGAACTAGTGGAAAGAAGAATTAAAGATGATGTTGAGATAGGCTCAATATTGTCTATTTTCCATTCCCATCAGAAATATCAACATAAACAGCTGCTACCTTACAAAGTCTCTGAAGTGAATTCTGCTGCTTTAAGTAACTGTATTCTCCAGAAAACAGATGGGTTATGCGGTCTGTGAGCAAACTTCCGGGAAACATCTTGGTCTTTAGGAACGTGTCCACGTTGATGCTCATCATACCCTCCTAGCACAAGGGGGAGAACAAAAGGCTTATTTTTCCTGCTGCTGTATTTATATGATTCAGACAAGAGCTGGAAGGTTGGATTAAGTGCAAGCCAAATACACCTGACAATAATACCACAATGTCCTATGCAACTATGAAAGGAGATGACTAGAGAGGAAGTGATGTCTGAGATAAGCAGTATAAGAAATGCTGTTTTGTCGCTTCATAGCTAATCATTTGAGGAGACAACATACAAACAAGTCAGAGAACCCTGACTAACCACACCAGGACCATGCCACTCATTTACCAGAGTCTTAGTATCACCAGCAAGTGCAGCTGCATTGTTTTTGAAAAGAGCAGTTGGACAGGGAAGGTACAGACCATTCCAGAATGTTCGACTTTATATTACAAATGAAGATGGATTCAGTCTGTGTTTTGTGTTTTAATCCTATGGCCTATATTTGGCTATCTCTGTTTTGATATTATTGGTTGAACACAGAATTTCCACTCTCTTAGCAACAATTTGTTCTCTCGCTTTGTGAATGAGTATGATCAGTCACAGTCCAGACAGAATCAAAGGATTTCTCAGGTTGGAAAAGACAAATCCAAGCTCCTGTTTACAGGCACAAACTTGGCAATATCTGCTAACTGAACATACTTCTTGCATTGGGCAACACAGTGTATGTTTTCTCAATAACATTCTGGACTAGGAAAGAAGCATGTAGCTTTTTAAAGATCTTCGGGAGGGCAGACAAAATCTGTGGTTCTTTCATTTATTTAGCTCTCACATTCCAGCATAACCAAAGAAACAAAAGAAGAGTTGCTTATTAGTAGTAGTAATTATGTTTCATAAAATGACAATAGATAGAAATGCACAAAAAGTTTGGATTTGCCCTGATAATGCAACCTTACTTGATCCAGTGTTCACACCAAGCTCTGGTTGAATTTCAGCAAATGATTTGCAGATAGCCAGTACAGAAGGGGGAGAACTCTGACACTTACTTACTTCCTGGGTGCAGTATTTCTTGGTGCAGAATGAGGGTGACAAATAAAAGCCACTGCTTATCTGGACCTTCACACATTCTTTTGAAATTAATGCTTCATCTAGTCATATTACTCTATGATGAACACCAAACATCTGCAAATTATGGCAACAAAATACTAAATATATATTTCAATTACTACTTTCTATGTTTTCACCTTTCCTTTTTTTCTTTTCATTTTCTAAAGATACATATGTGGCATAGCATATTTTGCTGAAATTGATATTGCTTTTGTAGATGTTCTACAATTTGCTGTTGTAGATATCTTGTAGGCTTATAGAAAAAGCAAGAGTACCAAACACCTTTTTTTTTTTTTTGGTAATCTGGGCAGATCTTCTTAAAAAATGTGCATCTCTAAGAAGATTAACTATACTCTAAAAAGACAGGATTACAAATTCCCTTTCTTATTTGTTAAGGCTGCCTCTGCATAAGAGCTTTTTCCCTTTGCTTAATATGCCTGACGCAAGAAGTATCAGTTACACTGAAAGCACTGGCATAAAGGGGCACAGCTATCTTAATCGCTGTGTCATCTAAATTTATTCTAATGGCAGTTAGCAAGAAATGCTTACATATTGCTTCTGTTAGCTCTGGTAGGAATATTTTTAAAGGTGGTTTAGACATACTGTTCTGATGACTTTGTGTAAATCTGTGTAAATCCTACACTTTATTCTATGTTGTAATCTCAAAAATCTGGAAGGTTTT